AAATTTTAGAAGAATCGCATTTACCAGTGATGGAAGAATGTTTGACATTCGGCCAAGATTTTGTGTTTCAGCAAGATGGTGCAGCGTGCCATACCTCAAGAAAGGCTATAAAATGGATGGAAGAAAATAATGTACCACTTTTGAAATGGGTTTCTAGCAGTCCAGATCTGTCACCTATTGAAACTTTGTGGCACGAGATGAAAAAGATTCTACGACAACGTCCTGCTCGTACAATTACCGAACTGAGACAAAAGCTTCAAGAAATATGGGACTGTTTTACATCAAATTTTTGCCAAAACTTGGTTAACACTATGCCCCAAAGAATTTCAGCCGTAATAAAAAATAAAGGTGATGTTACCCAATGGTAATCTTTCAACTGTTGCTTTGTTATCTTCGCGCATTTATTCGCACATTATTTTTTTGTTCAGATGTTCTATTAGTTATAGGTCTAAGTGATTTCAAATCTGTATTTTTTGCGTCCAGAGTGTATCTAAAATGTTTTTGATAAAATAAATTGTTTTAGAAGTAAATAGTTTCGTCATGTTTAGTTTATAAAGGCATATTTTGGTACAAATCTTGAAGTGGGCCAACTGAAGTGGGAAGGGGCTCGTATTCTAATTCTGCTCCTGTCATTTAAACTGCAACCAATCAAAAAAAAAAATAAATTACAAAAGCCTGAAACTTAACTGATTTGAAAGTTCATATCGGGAGTTTATCCAAAAGGCTTATTACGAATCTGATAACAAAATGGCAGAACTGGTATAACGGAATCGGCATCGCAATTGACAAAAGGTTTTCCTCAAAAATGGCGTCAGGTTGACTCTGCATTTCCAAAGCAACGAATCAGTTTATAAAGTACTATGTTCGGCACAAGTTAGCCCCTCTGAGAAAAAGCTGAGAACAAGTATACCAAAAATTAAATGGATCAAGTCAGTCAAACAGGCCCATAGAATTAATCACTAGTTTAAGCCCATATGATAACGCTGCGATAAACATTCCACGCCCCTTAAACATGTTTGGTATCTGGGTAGCCAGACCTGACAGACTAACAGACCGACGACACTAAGAGCAAAGGTCCACCGGACCGCTCTGACGAATAATGACGAATAGCATTCCACGCCAGCGGTCAGCCCCTCGTTGCATTCGAGCCGTGTGTTGAAAATATAAAATACCACCAATTTTCACCCTCCGAAAAAAGTTTCAAAAACCACAAAGCTTTCTTATCCATACCGACAGGCGAAGAGACATTCTGATGGAAATGACTGACATGGTTTTTCGTGATGAATATGCCATGTAACATTTTATCGAAATGAAACATATATTTTTTTCCGGCTGATTAAGCTTTCGCAAAACTTTCTGGTCCGTCGCCGGTGATTTAATTGTTTTGTATGGACAGCGTCATGTGAAGTCTTAACCAATATGTCCAATTTTGTCAGATTATACAATGTCGTTCAGAATAAACAATTTTCAATGGCGTTTAGTATTTCGAACCAGTGATTAACGTATTCTCCGGGAAGACGCCCAACCCTATGTTGTATTTGCACGTTGACGTACAATTTGTCACAGCCATGTTCCCAAATAGGATCGCAGTAACTCCCTCGGAAGTAATAAAAGCAGAATCCATTTCCCTTTTCAATAAAATGTTTTATTCTTTTACTTTAAATAAAACTTCCAAAGAAAGATCATCCCTCATTCTCCCTCGTGATTATTCCTAAGATTTCGTATTCTCAGAATTTCTCGTCAAGAAAAAGGAAATCCCATAGTCTTTAAGGTGGCAACAATGGCACGTAAAGAGGTCTACAGGTACATAGTTGAAAGCATAAATGGTTGGTGGCGCAGGGTGTTGGAATTTGTCAACCAATGCTATAAGGAAAGAACTGCAATAACAAAATCAACATACACTAGATTAATATGCAATATACAGGGTGTTTCCTAGATGAATGTCAACATTTAAAGGAGCGATTGTTGGGTCCATTTTAAGAAGACAAACACATATTAATGTATGTCCTAAACGTCTCAACTTTGGTGGTAAAATTTTCAAAAATAAATCATTTATCATTAATATGTAATACCATTTTAGATATGTACTCGTACTATGTATGAAGAAGCAGTTTTTAAAGTACACAACCTACTACAATGATAAGTAATATTTCTTTCCTAATTTTTTAAATGTTTTACTGAAAAGCTTTTAAAATACGAAGTACTTAAATTCTGGAGTGTATTTTTGAAATTTTAATTCACGTATGAGAAGACTTGATCTCTTATTTTTTATAGTAAAAACCGTGCATCGGATTGAGAAATCAAGCGACCAAATTTACTTACAAACGATTGGGAATTTCCATAATTTTTATTTCAAGAGTCAGTGGCGTGCCCTCAGTGTATACCACAATCATTAGTTAATTATAATTAGGGTGGATTTCACCAAAACTCTCAAATCAACAAGCCGTTATTTTCCACCTATAGGGTAACAGCCCGTCATATATAGCGAATGAGCTTTAAGAGCCATTCGACAAAGTTTAGCAACCAGTTGCTGTGAAATATTGAAAACAACAAAGTATGAGATGACAGCTTGTCATTGGAACATCACCACCTTATTGAATATGTATTAAGAAACTAATAAAACGAAAAATAACGAACCAAACTCTAAGAGACAGAGTAAGAAGTGAGGAAATACGAGCGAGATGTAGTATAGAGGAAATAAACCTGTGGACCAAAAGAAGAAAAATAGAATGGAATCGACACATAGAAAGAATGACAGTACGAATAGCAAGAGACAAATCGCCAAATGGAAGAAGATCAATGGGACGACCGAGGAACAGATGGTCAGACAACATCAATTGAGGCTAAAAACCGAAGTAAAGCAGGCATGAGCCTATTAATAAAGTAGGAAGAAGAAGAAGAAACCAAAACCCGCTGGAAGTTGGCACCCCTTTTTGTAGCACCATAGATTATTTTTTGATAGTTCTGAAAATTTTCCGAATAGTTTTACAGTAAGTTGTTAGTGGAGTGCGAAAATAGTTCTGCAACTTTTTTTTGCGAAATTTTTAAAAAAGTTGCACACCCCTTTTACGTCAAACGTAAGTAACGAGCTGTGGATTCACAAGGTAGTGAATAGTTCTACATTTCTTAATAGCTTTGAGCAAGAGTTCAGCCAAATTTCGAAAATTAAAAAAAAAATCATTTAACCGTTGTTCGGAAAATCCGAGATCGTCGCCGGTAGTTCCCCTTTCGGCGTTTTCGTCATCAGATTCCCTGCCGGTGATTCCCCAAGCGCGTTTGCGGAATTCACTGGTATGTGTGCGTGTATGTTTGTTTCAGTCAGGTTCATAACCGCTAAGCTGGAGCGGCATGGAAATAAACGTAAATGCGTTATTACCATAGAACAGAAACTTGAGGCAATCAGACGTCTAGATAGTGATTTGGCTGTGGCGTGAGTACCATTTCAGAATGAAAAAAGCACCGCGAGAAAATTGAGAAGTGGCCTAGTGTTCTGACATCATCGCAGCCGTCACAGAAAACTATGAAAAAGGGGAATATCAAAAAGTGGATGATGCTTTATATCTGTGGTTTACACAGAATCGAGAACGTGGAATATCAATTTCTAGGCCAATTCTAAAGCAAAAGGCAGTCAACTTAAGTGAAGAATAGCCAGTTATTGAGGCGCCTGATAACTTTACAGCCAGTGATGGTTGGCTGCATAGATGGAAAAAACGACACGGTATACGAGAATTAAAAGTGTGCGGAGAAAAGTTATCTGCCGATAAGCCCGCTGCATTAAAATTTGGAGAACATTTTAAAGAATTAATAAAGCAGTATGGTTCAAGTCCAGAACAAATTTACAACTGCGACGAAACGGGCCTAAACTAAATGATACCGGCGAAAAGTTCAAAACAAGAATCTGGAGCTTCTGGTTACAAACGCAGTAAAGAAAGCTAGTGGTTACAAACGCAGTAAAGAACGTGTGACTATCATTGCTTGTAGCAATGCTGCCGGTACACACAAACTTCCTTTGTTGTTAATCGGAAAATCAGCTAATCCAAGAGCATTTAAACACGTCCGTCCCAACGCACTTCCAGTGTGGTATAAAAATAAAAAAAATCAGCCAGTGGATGAAGGAGTTTTAGAAAATTGAAAAGGCAATTATGTACACACGTTTGTTACTCGTATTAGAGCAAATTTTAGATCAAGTTGATAATGGTTGTAACCTAGTTGATTGCTTATAAGAGATTGACCTCAAGAATGTGGCATAATGGATAGCAAAATCATGGAGCCAAGTAAAAACATCTACTTTACAAAAATCTTGGTCGACAATAATTAAGTAAAAAATGGAACCTTGCGCAGACTATGAGAATAACAACGAAAATTTACATGAGCTCGTCGTAAAAATAGCAGGGTGTGAAAATCTTACCCAAGAATATGTTGGAGAGTGGATTAATGGTGATGAATTGGTGGAAAAATTAACTGATACAGAACTAATAAAAACTGTTTGTAACAATGCCGATGAGACAGCTTTACGTGCTGCTAGTGATAATGTGTGTAAAGTGAGAAATCTTTGCCAAAATATCACATTCTGAGGGATTAGAAGCTCTACAAAAGGCGTTGACTTACGTCGAACAACAAGAAAATGCGACAGCAGCTGATGTGATACTTATCAAACGTTGGAGGGATATTGCTGCCAAAAATAGGAACAATGCGAAACGTGTACAGTTAAAAATTACGTCCTTTGTTGCTAATTACTCGTAAATATGTATGTTTGTATCCACATGTTTATATTTTACGTTACTTTATATGGGTATATACTCACTTAACACCGTATTTACTTTTTTCAATAAAAGCATTATAAATCTAAATATTTACTTCCGTTTTATCCGAAATCTCGATTATGCGAAAGCACTTGGGTCCACATTATTTCGGATAATCGTCGTTCTACTGTACATTAAAAACTGTCTCTTCATACATAGTACATGTATGCCAAATTTCATTAGGATATCTAATACAGATGTTAGTAATCAATGATTTATTTTTGTAAACTTTCAACTTCAAAATGGCCTTAAAAATATCCCTTTTAAAAATGGACATTCAATTAGGAAACACCCTGTATCATAAACCAACAATGATATTAACCATGGCTGATTGACTGGGCTGCCGTCTCAGAAGCCTCGCCTGGAAGGACCCCGGCGTATCGATGGTATGCTGCCTGGTCAACATGGGATGATTCTTGGCCATCGAGCTTTGCCGGAACCACGGCAACGAAATCTTCCTCTTTGACTTCTGTGGTTGCAGCCCCCCGGTGGCTGTTCCCCCCTTGGAGGGGCCTGGACTTCCCGACATTTTACGCACTATCACGGCACTATTCCGGTCACTGCATTAGCATTAGAATCGGATGAATGTATGGTTCTCATGCACAACGATATGTCCGGAGGGTAGATGCGCATTTTCATGAGACTGCTAGTTTAAGTTTATCAAAACGTCTATTTCCAGTGAGCTATTACAATGAATCAGTAGGTAAGTGGTTATGAATTATAAAACGAATCTTGATAACGTTTTTAATGCAATCTGAGTCATTGAACGTTTTATCAGTAGATATAGAGTGTATTAGTATCACTAACGAATAGACTGTATTGGTAAAACTGGTAGACTATATTAAGATTTTATGAACATTCTACCACGGGATGCATACAGGGTGTTAGGGAAATAATATTCGTAACTTTAAGAGGTGATTCCTTGCATTATTCGAAGCAGAAAAGTCCATTATAACCTATGTCCGAAAATCAACCGTTTCGGAGCAAAAAAATGCTGAACTTATTTCTTTTTAATTATGAAATATATTAATTTTGCACCTTAATAATTTAAATTCATATGCCTAATAGCGTAAAATGTATCAATACATCTATTTATTAATTAACTGTCTCTAACAAAATAATTTTCATGCTAATTAAATAGAATTTTCCGAAGAAAAACAGTCAAACAAAATCTCTCACACAACTGGCAATGTCGTACTCCGCCTGCACCGCATGTATCATCGCGTGATTACTAATACATTTGTGTGTGTATCGCCACGTACCGGTAGTTCTGTCATTTTTTTTAAGTAAACGTACTGTACTAAAAGCGTTATTAAATAAAAAATATTAACCACAAAAAATCGCGAAAAAGTGTTCAATAATGCAGGCCATATTTTCAACAAAAATATACACACGTAAACAATTCGATGAATCAGTTGCGGTCGTCGTGCGCTCGTATCGCGGTTGCGTTGCAGCGTTGCCAGATGTTTGAGAAAATTTAATTATTTACGACTCACTTTCTTCGAAAACGAATGATTTTCGACATAAGATATAATGAACTTTTTTGCAGGGAATCACCTCTTAAACTCACGAATATTATTTCCCTAGCACCCTGTATAACGAATGTAAATTTCACGGGTCATACAGTGCTTTTCAAAAAGCCTTCCCCCACTTATTTTTAGGTTGTCCCAAAAAATGTCAGCTTGGAACTAGCTGTCATTCACTTCATGTTTACTTGTGGAAGCTGTACGTGTTGCCTAAACATCTTGACTCTTGAGCTATATGGTTTGGCTCTGATATGGTGCAACATCTGCTTCAGAAATGCGACCAGTGGGGGACACTCATAGTTTCTATGACCAAAGCTCTATGTTCTGTACTATTACCGGAACGACGGTCGTTGCGCCATTCCCCCATTTGTGGCGCTCATTGCGAGATTTTTTATGAAATTATATCGACTTTTGCGTAATACCCCTGCGAGTCAAGATAGCAATTTGAAATTTTGGACGATGAAATTGATGCATGAATACAATATTTTTACGTAAAAGTAACAGTTTCAAGATTGCGCCTTCTTGACACATTTTTTTCGAATAGAGTGGGGGTAATGAGATACCTCATTCTGGAGCTGCTCATCAGTACTTCGAATAGGTTAGAAGAAGCCAAGCCTATACTTTTGACTAAGTGCACTGGTTTTATTCTTATCAACCAAGGTACCCTGTACCCTAAAGTATTGATCATATAGTAAAAATCTATACGACATAATTTGTTGTAAATTCAATGTAGATTATTGATGTTGCAAGATTTATATATATATATATATATATATATATATTATTAACACTTTATGAGATGCATGCAAAATCCCGAAAATTCGGACCACCCCGACTCTGGCCCTCCTCCCACGCTCGTGGACTTCATCCGAACATCTCAAGCAATAGCTGTGCGAATTTTCAAGACTACACGAATTATTTGGTCTGATCAACGAATTTTGAGCTCATTTTCTTAGAGAGAATATTTCCTCTACTGGAAGAATTAAATAGACTAAAATATCCCATGTAATTGACGGTTTTCCTTTGAAGTCGCATGAACATCCTCCTCCTCTAAAGTTGAGCTTCCTCAGGAACTATTCATGTGCAAGAGAGTAGGAGCGAGCTAGCCTTCTGCATATCAAAAGAATCGATTTTGCACTCCACTTCCATCACTGGAGATGCGCTTTTGTTATTGTAGTGGACTTTAGGAAGTATGTACTTTTTCATTCTACAAAGTGAGAAGTACGTTGTGATGGCATGGTGGCGGTTGGGGATGAATCTAGACGTATTGCTATCTCTCAAAATAGATTCGAAAGTGATTATGCGAGTTGCAATCTACAGTTTTTAGTTAGCCCTGATCTGATATATGTTATATCCAAAACATCGTCAGCCCTAGTAATGGCTATTACCCTTTATGGAGATAACAAAAAAATCCATTTAACTGTTTTAAACATCATTAAGCTACCAATTCAAAAAATTATTGAATTATATTTGTGATAGAAGTTGTTAATAAACATAATGAAAAAGCATCGCTTTCAAGATACAAAGTGCTACACCTTTTTTGAGAGTTCGTTTGTTGTTCTTGAATCATAATAACTCTTTAGCTGATACTATTGAAATATGTACTAAGAAAGTACAGACGTATTGCCGAAAATTTAGATAAAATCAGAGACAAATAATAAAAAATAAAACTCCAGCCCTCATTGGAAACAAGTTAACAGATCTATATTTGGCGATCTAATTTACTATGACAATATGTGGATTAAATCGGTAGTTGTAGTCGATTTTCTAACGATGTATATCTCTACAAACCATATTCCATTTCATTCCCTTTTGAAAACGGAGTATTTCCAGACCTATGCTTTTATTTCAATTCTCCCGGAATCACAGATTTAAGTTTAACCAAGCTCACTCTGTATGTAAAATAACAATTTAAAACTAGCAGGATAAACAGTTCCGTGAAATAAATGAATTTTTATACTCGTATTTGTAAATCTGCGTTATTTATACACAAAATTCGTTATTGTGACATTCATATTCTCGCTCCTCGTGAGATCAAATTTTCTTTTTTTCCTAAGGTAAGATCCGTACTATAGTAAACACGCTAATTTTTAGATTTTTATATTTAGTTTCCCTTAAATTATGTTCTTCCATTGCAAAGAACAGTAGTGATTCTTCTTCATCCGATGATATATATAACCATATACATTTTTTTAGGTTAGTAATGATACCATTCGTTTTTCCTTTTTAACACTAGCATTCAATCTTTCCTCTCCTGAAAACACAACGTAAATGATGCGATTACGAGAATATTCGCTTTGGTGTGGGGCTTCAACCAGAAACCGCCATGAAATTCGCTGCGGATTCTTCCTTACGAATCTGCTGCGATTAATTCGCTTTGGTGTGGGGGAGACTTAATTCTTAGCCATAAGTAAAATTTATATAATTATACACATCTGCGGCTCATAATATCCAAAATAACTCTAATTTTGACCTATACAAGGTGTCCATGATAAGAATCCCATGCATGGGGATTTCAATACCAGTAAGGTACAGCTCAGGTTAGAGTATGAAAAAGCCGCATACTTTGGGGCATATTTACATGCCGTTGAGAAACTTGTAAAAATTTAATGTCTTACTGAAGTATGTGGGAAAAACTATTTGGCCAAATCGCTTTTGTTTTTTCTGATTTTAGTTCAAGAAATATCAAAAAACTAATGAAACTTTTACGTTGGCACTTTTTAGGCACTACATGATGGTGTTTTTAAATTATTTGCTCAACGTTTCGTTTTGGAGAAACCATCAACTTTATTTTTTTATATGGTCCGAAAAAAGTACACCCTGTATCTGACAGCATCTTTTTCTACGAATTCAACGATGTATCACATGTAACATTTGTAGTTATGAAGAAAAATGTGTTATTTTATTTTATTTAAGTAGGCATTGCACACAAATGCCTGATGTAAGATTGTGTGATTACTGATAGATGCTTACATAATGATAAGTGGGGTAAAATTTTATAAAATGATGCTTAATCTATACATTTTTAACATTATTTTTACTTTATCCACAATAGGTGTACAAATAGGTTTCCATTATTTTCTAAACACAAAATATGATCTTCTAACAGTAGAATTAAAAACATCGTAACATTTCTGGTCTAATCACAAGAAATGCTTTTATTACACATTCTCGTAACTTCTGCTCAGTTTCAAAAGTATGCAGATAAATTTGGTTTTTAATAAAACCCCAAACAAAGAAGTCCAGGGGAGTTAAATCCGGAGAACGCGTTGGCCAAGAGACTGTACTGAAGGTACCAATCGCTGAGAAAGATACTCTCGAACTTGCATAGAGTTATGTGCAGGAGCACCGTCTTGTTGAAACCAACAGCTATTAACCTGTGCCAACGGAACTTAATATTTTGGTCCCTAGAATTCCACACAACATATTAAACCCAAAACCTTGTTGATGTCTCGAGACTTTTTCAGCCCTCAGATTTTCTTGAACCGAGTAATGCCCACACTCTCGTCGATTATTTTTTAAGGGAATGTAAAATCTTCACAGGTTCGGGTGTACCACTCACAAAAATGCCAGCCGTTCGCTACTATGGTCTAAGTCCTTTGCAAATCCTGACTTTATAGGGGTGATATCTATTTTTACGCAAAATAAATCCGGCTGTGGATTTGGCTAGTTCTTTATTTGTCTCAATTTGCATAGTTGATATCTGAGTGATAGTAAAACACTATTTTTCCTCTAAAGATTCCAACAGGCTTTTTGAATTAACCATATTTAATTAAATTTCGAGTCAACTCTAAGAAAATAATAATAATAATAATAATAATAATGACTTTATTCAAAAGATGATCATAGTATGGCGAAGTTTAGCCATGGCTACTCTACCACTTAACCATACTACAACCAGACATTACAAAACATTAGCATAACAACATGAATCAGTAGCTGTAACGAATGCATTAAAAATATATAATATGAACATATACAAAGAAAAGAAACAAAAGAACAAGATATCGTTCAGCAAAATGAATTTATCACTCAATGTGCTGAGTCCAGAAAGTGCAACTTGACTGTTTTCTTGAAGCGCTGCAAACTTAAGCTCTTAGAGATAGCTGGCAAAGAATTGTATACCTTGACCGCATTATAAGTAAAGGACCTTTCAAAGACCGACGTACGATGTATAGGAATGGAAAGTAGATCGTTGTGCCGCAGATTTAGAGTAATTTGGTTTCCACGAGGAATCAACTTACAGAGCAAATAGACGGGTTTACCAGTTTTAAAAATTCTATGCACCAATGAAGCCATAGAGTAGTTGTATAAGCCGTCAACTCTGAGCCACTGTAACTCCTTGATTTTTGAAGAAACGCTACTGTACTTCCTAAGCCCAAATATGAATCTGCAACAGTTGTTCTGAAGCTTCTGCAATTTTGACTTGCAAGCTGAGTCTAGGCATGGGTAAATGAGGACTAAAGAGTAAACTAAAATTGATAATATGAGGCTTTCACACAACTTTTTGCGGCACTTAAAGTTTAGAATATGGCGACTAGAATATAAAAGCTTCATCTTCATATAACTCGACTTCATAATATTATTCACATGTAAGTTAAATCGAAGATCTGAATCAAATATAACACCTAGATTCTTAGCATTATCACAAAATGGAATATCTATGTCGTTGATAAACAAGGAGACCCGATTTGTGATGTTGTAATTTGAATGTCTAGGACAGTATGGAATCGCGGTGCATTTTGATGGATTGATGCGGAGACAGTGTCTATTGCAATACGTTAATACGTTGTCAAGATCTAGGTTAATTTTGTAGGATGCTTCATGTAAGTTGGATTCATTGAAACGAAATGTTAGCTGTGTATCGTCAGCATACATTTGAATGCAACAATGTTCTACACACTCATGCAGATCGAATGTGTATACTAGGAATAAAAGAGGTCCCAGTACTGAACCCTGTGGAACTCCTGATGACAGATACTGTGCATCAGAAGTTCCTCTAGATGTTTTCACTCTTTGGGTGCGATCAGTTAGGTACGATCTGAAGAAATTCAAAGGAACTTCCGACATGCCATAATATTTTAGCTTACTCAAAAGAATCTCATGATTGACCGTATCGAAAGCCTTGGAAAAATCAAGCATGACCAACAGCGTGCCGGATTTGTTGTCAAGGTTGGAAAGTATCTCATCTGCAAGATGTAGTAGTGCAGTAGTCGTACTGTGACCTTCACGAAAACCAGATTGGTGTACTGGAAAGAAATTATTATTAGCAAAATACTCAACAAGCTGTTCGTATACTAACTTCTCCAAGACTTTCGACAAGAAACATAAACCACTTATAGGTCTAAGATCGGCATGTTCAGACGGATTCTTACTTTTGGCTAGAGGTGTGACTATTGCCTCCTTCCAGTTGGATGGGAAAACGCCCCTCTCTAAGCAAATATTAATAATATGCGTGATGTGATCAAGTATTTCAGGCAGGCATAAGCCTAGCATAGTTAGAGTGATGCCGTCACAACCCGCTGCTTCAGACTTGATAGACAAGACTGCATTCATAACTTCACGAGGGGTTACTAGACGAAAGTGAAATGATGACACGTCGGGATCGAAGCGTCTGTTGCTGTAGCTGTTGACAGTGGATTGTACTACTTTGAGGTTTTGATCGGCAGGCATAAAAGTACTTAAAAAGTATTCGTTGACTTCACGGGGATCTAGCAGATTAAACGGTACATCAACACGTTTCTGTTGACAGACATTCATAGATCTAAGTGTTTTCCATGCTGATCGTGTACTAATATCACCATATCTAGAAAGGTAGGCCCTCTTCTCCCTACGAAAGGAAGCAAGTGCGTAATTCCGCATATCTTTGTACGTAGACCAGTTCACTTCAGATGGGTCATGACGGAAATTCAAGAGAGCTTGGTCGCGTTCCTTAAAGATGCATCTCAGGTTCGATGTTATCCATGGAGCAGCCGGTTTTGTTACACGAGCAGTTCTTAATGGCGCGTGCATATCATATATTTGTACGTATATTATGCAACTAGATAGACAGCTTACTTTGTCATCAACATCCATAAAGTAAAAGATACGATCAAGTCCAGCATGAAGTAAGTCGCCCTTAAAATTAATAACATCAATATTTTTTATATCTCTAAAAGTTACTAACTTGGGTTCAAATTTAGGAAGCTTCAGAGCAACAGCACAGAAAACTAACTTGTGGTCGGACACAAGATCAGCATTAAGAACTCCTGATTTTACAACACTGTTTGAATTGCTAGAAAAAATGGGGTCTATTAGAGTTGAGCTAAACTGAGTTACACGAGTCGGTTCATTTATTAATTGATCAAAATTGAAGCTGTCGAAGCAGTTGCTCAAAGGATTGTCATGATTCAAAAGGTCAACATTTAGGTCACCAAGAATTATTATATTATCAAATTGAGGTACGAAGAAAGAAAGCATATCATCAATGGTATCAATGCTATCTGTAATTGAAGTATGAGGAGGGCGATACACGACGACAATAAGTAGGGTAGAGTTGCCCATGCTGAGTTTGCAGCATAGCAATTCTAAGGAGGAGTCACCTACAAAATCAAGAGTATCAATAACGGTAATGTTGAAATTATTTCTTATATAGAAGCCAACCCCTCCACCCCTACCCAAACGATCTCTACGGAAAAGCTGGTAGCCTTCTATAGATACAGTTTGACTAGAAATGTTTTCATTAAGCCACGTTTCGGTAATGCATATAATATCGAATTTGTTTTGAACTAATCCACAAAAACAGTCGAAAGCAGTAGTCAAGGACCGCACATTGAGATGACAAATATTTAAAACTTTGTTATTAAGCCTAGCCATAGTCAATTCTAGATTTTAATTCAGCATATTTCTTTAAAAAACATGGACATTGTCTGTCTGATGCAGCATGATCGACTGAATATGGCTTAAAATCTCTAGAATGACTTTTCATATAATTATTATATACACAGCAATTCACACATTTCTTACTAACAGAGTTACAATCTTTCTCATCATGGTCATTAGAACATAGCGAGCACACAGACTTATTTTTGCAATCTTTTTTCACATGACCGAATCGAGAGCAGCTAAAGCACCTAATTACTGAAATATGGTCACGGACAAAACACTTTTTCCAAGAGGTATACAAAAAGCCACGAGTAATTATGGTTTTCCTCACATCAGGATCAACCTCTACTATATAACTCAACGAATATTTTAACTTTAGAACAGATATCACCTTTATATCACAATCAGCCAAGTAATCATTATTTTGGACTATTGATTCGAGGAAAGTGTTTCTATCATCTAGTGATTTATCAACATCAGTAATCAAGAGACGGGGTTTAAAGGGTTTGGGAGCTGTTACTTTATACTTACTGTTAAACTTATTCTGAACTACACCCTTAAGTTTTTCTAAAGATTCTTCGTTAGAGCAACTAATCAACATTCCATTTTTTATAAGCTTAACACCATTGATACTTATTTTCTCGGCAGCAGGGTTAACATTCGCTTTAACAGTATTTAAAACCTCGGAGTTTGATTCTTTTTGATCATTTGACGTAATAATTAAAACAGACTTGGAATGATTGCTTACAGTTTTTGACACAACCTGACTATAAGGTACGGGAAGTTCAGCATTCTGCTGTATTTGTACATCGGGAAACCTGCTGGATGTAATTTGTTCAATTTTATTGAGCAAAATTTTGTTAGTAGATTTTAACTCATTCACAAGATCAGTTAGTAGCCGAACATCACTCTTCACTTTAGCAAGCTCCTTAATTACATCTCCATCGCTATTCGATATCACGGTTGTGGTTGATGAGTGACTATCTTCATCGCAGTTCTTGCACAGCCAGTCGGATTTTTCTAGTTTTATAACTTTGGCAATCGATAGGAAGCATTTCTGATGTAGGGTAACTTCACAATTTAGATTACAACATTTTATCTTTGCACTGCCTTTACGGATATCCTCTTCACAAGCCTCGCATCGCATGTCTATGTCTGGTTGCTTATTTTTACCAGACATACTGCTACCTCAACCATTGGAACTGAGCGCACGCCGCTGAGTCGAAAAACAACTAGACAGCGTGGAGTGGTTTTTGCTTGGATATTTTACTCAGAAATTCACAGGTGGTGCTATTAAAAGAACATCACACTGCACACGGCAATCAAATCGAATTTAAGAGTACATACCACAAATCACATAGACTAGGTGCACTACAAAATTCAAGAAAATACTCGCACTTTTTCCACTTAAACAATGCGTTTATCAGTAGCTGAGAAGTAAACAGTAATATCACCCTCAGTGGCGTATCATTATATGGACTTACTTGGCTGCCTTCTTTCGGGAAATTTATCAAGATACATTTTCTGCAGTATTTTTAGTATTTTTGTAGTACAAAATAGCACATTTCTAAAATGATTGCCCTGCATCTTTGACGATAATAAAGCAATAATAACTGTACACAATCATAACAATACTCGGTGACAGGTATTTACGTCAAGTCAAGCATTTCTTTGCAACGCCCTTAAAAAATAAGAAAACACCAAGAAAATGAATGTAACATGTGATACATCATGTAGTGCCTAAAAAGTGACAATGCAAAAGTTGTATTGGTTCTTAAAATAACGTCAAAGAAAATTATAATGATCTGGCCAAATTTTAATTGTTCCAAAATAATTTTAAAAATGTATTCATTATTCTGAATATTACTAGATTAAGCATCATTTTATAAAAATTTACATCATCATATCATTATGTACGAGTAATATGCATCTATCAATAATCACATAATCTTACATCAAGCATTTGTCTGCAAACATCTATTTAAATAAAATAAAAGATTACACATTTTTCTTCATAACTACAAATGTTACATGTGAATTCGTAGAAAAAGATGCTATGAGATAAAGAGAGCACTTTTTTCGGATATAAAAAATAAAGTTGAAAATTTCTAATGTAAAGGTTTCATTAGTTTTTTAATATTTCTTAAAATAGAATCAGGAAAAACATAATAACGATATGGCCAAATAGTTTTTCTCAAATACCTCAGTGCCATGCAATTTTTACAAGTTTCCCAACGGTATGTAAATATTTCCCAAAGTACGCAACTTTTTCCTAATCTAACCTAAACTGTACCACCCACAGGCATTGAGATTCCCATACATAGGATCGTTATCTTGGATTGTGTTCAAAATAATAATAAAGCAATGAATATTAAAACACCAGTCACCACTGAAGTGGTAATGTCTCTTAGACCGAAAGTCTCCGGAAAAGAGGCGCACGAACACGTTTCGAGTCTGTATAAGAACATCAGCAACACGCGGCGACGGTGGTCAAATTGACCGCACGAGGGGCGCCGCAGCGGCTGGGCTTGCCGCTACGGCGGCTGCTGCGTGACGACGCGGACACTTTTGCCGCTGCGACGACCGCACCTCGCTACAGCCCGGCATCTTACTGGACGGCTGGTTGCTGGAGCGTCAGCTGCCAGCAGGACGCGTAGCAGGAGCAGCAGGAGACGTAGCGGCAACGGCAGGAGGCTCCTCCCGCCAATGGAGCCGCAGTCGCAGCTAACGACGGATGCGGACCAGCCACCACGCACCGCGTTGCCGATTGCGCCCTTTTCGCGCCATTTCAACAGCACACGCAATGTATCTGTCATACTGGCGTGCTCAACTCATTAATTTATGGATCCCCAAATTTTGTTTTCATCTCATTTCGAATCACTTGGTTCCTCATGCTCATGTCCAACCCATCGCAAAAAGGGATCTATGCCTTACAACTATAGTCCTATAGGTCTACTATCTGTTATAAGGTCAGGTGCTGGAGAGGTGCAGAAATCGCGGCTTGATTAGCGACAGGCAGTATGGTTTCCGGCACCAGCGATCCACAGGGGATGCTCAAATCGTTGCTCTTGATATCACGAAAGCATTTGCTCAGCTGCCCTCTTATGCAAACTTCCATCCTATGGCCTCCCAGAGAAGCTTTACAGATGGGTGGCTGACTTTCTGGCCGCAAGATATCCGTCGTAATTGTCGGGTTCTCCTCTTCATCCCACAACGTCAATGCGGGTGCTCCCCAGGGATCGTTCTTGGCTCCGACACTGTTCCTCTTACATATCAACGACCTAGTTTTCCTGTACAATCAATTCAATCCACAGCTTTGCTGATGACAGCACTCTACATGCAGGAATTCAGGGCAACAAGCCGATCTCTGCCGGTGAGCTGGAAAAAAGAACTCTAGGAGCGACTTCCTCTCTGACGAGATACTTAGAGGTTATCACTGCTTGGGGACGAAACAATCTTGTTCAGTTTAATGTTTCCAGAACACAGTACTGTACCTTGACGAACTAAAGGCGTCCTAGCGCTCATCCGGTTTCCGTGGATTACCTAGTTCTGCCAAAGAGCCGTTCATTTTGGCTGTTCGGGGTCCAGATTACCAAGGACTTGGCACGAACATTTCTCGTCAATAGCGGCAGCTGCTGCGAAAAGCTGGGCTCTCTGTTCAGGGCTAAGAAGTGTTTTTCTCCACATGACCTCCTCACTCTATACAAGGCCGTGAGTCCGGGCCCCTGACCTATCCTCGACTTCTGCTCACACGTTTGGGGTGCTGCCGCTCCGACTATATAATTCATTTCAACTGACTCCTCTCTAACAGACAGTCTCGAGACCCTTTTTCTTGATGCCCTCAGGCAGGCCTCCCATCCTAACTGTGCCGAAATTCCTACATTCAGAAGTGGCCGATACGAACGGTCATTTGTCCCTAGAGTGTCGAGATTGTGGAACAATCTACCAGAGGAGGCTCTTCCCAATTCTACTAACCTTAAGCAGTTCAACATTCGGATTAAGAAAGTTACTTTGGGATCCTCATGGCAGCCGCAAAGTCCTGGGATTCAAGCTTCTGCCTGCGCGTCTGCTTCGGCGCAAAATAAACGTCATCCATAGTATTAATTATTGTCTAATGCACGGACTACGAGCCCCTTCCCACTTCAGTTGGTCCACTTCAAGATTTGTACCAAAATATGCCTTTATCAACTAAACATGACGAAACTATTTACTTCTAAAACAATCTATTTTCTCAAAAACATTTTAGAAACACTCTAGTCGTAAAAAATACATATTTGAAATCAGTGATACCTGTAACTAATAGAACATCTGAACAAATAAACAATGTGCGAATAAATGCGCGAAGATAACAAAGCAACAATTGAAAGATTACTATTGGGTAACATCACCTTTATTTTTATTACGGCTGAAATTATTTGGAGCATAGTGTTTTAGCAAAACTTTGGTGTAAAACAATCCCATATTTCATGAAGCTTTTGTCTCAATTCGGTGATTGTACGAGCAGGATGTTGTCGTAGAACCTTTTTCGTCTCGTGCCACAAAAATTCAATAGGTGACAGATCTGGACTGCTAGAAACCCATTTAAAAAGTGGTACATTATTTTCTTCCATCCATTTTATAGCCTTTTTTGAGGTATTGCACGCTGCACCATCTTGCTGAAACACAAAATCTTGGCCGGATGTCAAACATTCTTCCATCATTGGTAAAAGCGATTCTTCTAAAATTGCCAAATATTTGTTTGTATCCACATTTCCTTCAATAAAATGAAGTGTTCCTACTCCTTTTGATGATATACTGCCCCAGTCCATAATGGATGCTGGAAATTTAACTTTTCTCTTCAGACAGTCAACATGGAATGATTCATTTTTTTTTGCGAATAACTACTGCGACTGTCACCAACACAAACTTCGAATCGGGCCTCATCACTCTATTGTATTGCACACCATTGTTGAGATGTCAATTGTCTGTGTTCTTTAGCCCATCTAAACCGATTTTTCTTTTGCAGTGGAGTTAATAGTTGCTTTTCCTTTTCCTATAAACAAGTTGCGCAACTTTAGGATTCTTACTTCACTTTTTTTATAAGAAAACTTACCTTGCAAGTGCTAAATCCCAGTTTGTGGGCATTTCTATGAGCTGTGGACCTCAGAACTCTCCTTCCAACAGCGTCACTCCACAGAGCACTTAATTGTAAATAATTGGCACGCCTGTTTTTCACGATATTCTTCTTAATGCTCTTCGGTCGGCATTTGTGATACTACTTTTTTCACATATCGTGGCTTAATATTAACTAAGTCAGTTACGTTATATCTTCTAACAATATTTCTCACACTGTACCGCGATAAGTCTAACAAAGTTGCAATTTCTGAGTTTGGTTTCCCAGAATTAAAAAATTTAATTATCAGTAACCGAATTTTCTCACTAATAACCTTTCCTCTACCTATTTTGAAAACCTTAACTACCCAAAACTATTTTAAACGTATTCTGACAGCTGTGATTAATAAAAACAATTGTCATCGATTTTATTTTTCACAGGCACCTATGCGTTATAGACTTATTTTGCATTGAAATGAAAATAGGTTGATATGCTGTAATTGCAACATGTGTTATTTTTATGCTGCAAATTTGATTAGTGAGTGATAAGTTGGTGTTTTCTACAATATATTATCAAAATATTCATTGTTAATATTTTAAATCTATAACGCCCTGCTACATTTTTATTATTTGTGTTTGATAAGAAAAAAACTAAGATTTCAATAGTTGGGCCAACTGAAGTGGGAAGGGGCTCGTATACTCTGAGTCATAGAAGCACTTGTATTGCACCTCTTGCAAAAAAACAGTAATCCCAGATCATAAGCTGATTTGAGACTGACTAGTATCATGCCTGTGCTATCTAAATTATTGGAGAAGGTACACTCACATAAATGAATATCTATCGGAATATCAAATAATATCATGAATACAATGTGGTTTCCGAAAGGGCTACAATACTAACAGACAATATATTTAGAACGTGGGATCAACACATGATAACAACGCCTCTTGATTTTACTAAGGCGTTCATCAATACTCTAAGGGCCGTATCGTAAGTCGTTCCTACAATATTGTAGGACGGCTTTACGGTCTCCTTGATTTTCATAGTTTTTCCTGTCAGAAAGGCGCTCTACTTTGAGGTTGTGTTAC